TAGAGGCTGGGGAGTCCAAGATCAAAGCGTTGGAGATTCTGTGTCTGATGAGAGCCCTCATCACCTAATCACCTCCCAAATGTCCCACCTTTTAATTGCCAAGTAGTCAGTAAAATATCAGATGTGAAGCTCGGCAGAGAGGACAGAACCTCGAAGGTTTTATGTCAGCATATGAATTCTGGAGGGACACAAACATTCAGACCATAGCACCATTTAATAAAAAATAGGCTACCCTTCCTATTCTAATTATTTTCTCTACGGGGTAAGGATTGTACTCATCACCAGCTATACTTACTTATCTTACCATTCCCCCCAAAGACTTAAGTTCCACGAAGGTAGGACCATGTGAGTTTTTTTCCCACTCTTTACTCAGCACCAAACACAGTGCCTGGTATGTGGTTGACATTCCCATAAACTTGTTGAATAAGTATATGCATGAATTTAGAGTATTCTTATCTGGTTAACAGATAAGCCAATTTGGATAAAACGATGGCTGCTAAGTAAAGAAAAACTGGAGGCTTTAGAGGAATTAGTTACGAACAATTAGAAAACGGGCACATAGCTCCAACATTTTCCCCTTGGAATTCTCCAGTTTTCGTAATTAAGAAAAAATCAGGTAAATGGAGAATGTTAACTGACTCAAGAGCCATTAATTCGGTTATACAACTTTAAAATAATAACTTGGGGTCGAGGTTATGCTTGTGTTTCTCCAGGACTGAATCAACAGCCGATTTGGATACCATCAAGACACCTGAAACCTTATCATGAGCCAGATGCCGAGGAAGGGATTCTGGGAGGATCCCGAGGACCCCCCGGTTGCACCCATCTCAAGACTGGTGCTGAGGAGGACCCCAACTGTCACGAGCAACACCCCCAAACACAGTCACCCACCTGGAGACAGATCAAGAAGCTGTCACAGATGGTAGAAGAAAGTCTGAGGAAAGCGGGACCACCAGTCACAATGAGTAATTGAATGGTAGCTATGATCGCGGTGATCACCATTGCTTTGAGTATTCCTTCAACAAGGGCTGACAAGAGAACAATTATACTTATTAGGCATATTTATCAATCCTGGCTGGCAATAATGCCTGGATGTAATCACCCTATGACACAATTACACATGCTTTCTGACCTCAGTATTTACCATAATAAATCTGCTCCTATAATTGAGGCATACTGCCCTCAAAAACCTATTTGTAAACAGAATTGGACCTGGCCAGAAATAATGAACATACTCATTTGGGAAGATTGCATTACAGAACAGGCAGAGGTGCTGTGCAACGATTCCTATGGAATCATTATTAATTGGTCCCCTAAGGGGATGTTTAGCGTAAATTGCAACTCTCAGTCTGCATGCCACGGCCACACTATATTCAGCTGATCTGAACAAAATGGTCAGATGGTAGAAATGGTAAGAAGTATGGCAAGAGTTTCTATTATCTGGAACCATGGCAATATAGTGGCACCTCAACCTCAAATGATATGGCCCACTGTAGGAGCTAAACATAAGGATTTGTGGAAACTATTAATACTCTTAATAAGATCAAAATTTGGGAAAGAATAAAAAAAGCATCTAGAAGGACACTCTACAAACTTGACTTTGGATATTGCAAAATTAAAAGAACAAATATTTAAAACATCCCAGGCACACCTGACATTAATGCTAGGAACTGGAGTGCTTAAAGGAGCTGCAGACAGATTAGACGCTAGTAACCCATTAAAATGGATAAAAACACTTGGAAGCTCTGTGATTTCAATGATGATTGTGCTTTTAATCTGTGTTATTTGTCTTTGTATAGTCTGCATATGCAGATCCCAACTCCTGCAAGAAGTAGCTCACTGTGACAAAGCTGCCTTTGCTTTTATTGCTTTGCAAATCAAAGAAGGGGGACATGTTGGGAATAGGCCCCCAAAATCTGGCCATAAACTGGCTCCAAAACTGGCCATAAACAAAATCTCTGCAGCACTATGACATGTTCGTGATGGCCACAATGCCCATGCTGGAAGGTTGTGGGTTTACCAGAATGAGGGCAAGGAACACCTGGCCCACCCAGGGCGGAAAACCATTTAAAGGTGTTCTTAAACCACAAACAAGAGCATGAGTGATCTGTGCCTTAAGGACATGCTCCTGCTACAGATAACTAGCCAGAGCCCATCCCTTTATTTCAGCCCATCCCTTTATTTCCCATAAGGAATACTCTTAGTTAATCTGTAATCTATAGAAACAATGCTTATTATTGGCTTGCTGTCAATAAATATATGGGTAAATCTCTATCCGAGGCTCTCAGCTCTGAAGGCTGTGAGACCCCTGATTTCCCACTCCACACTCTATATTTCTGTGTGTGTGTCTTTAATTCCTCTAGCGCTGCTGGGTTAGGGTCTAACCAAACTACTCTCAGCATTCCCATTAACTGTTTTATTGTTGCCTAAGACTTTGTGCCTTCTGTGGCCTAGAATAAGCCACCCATCTGTTTGGAAACATCCTTTAATAGAAAGCCAACTTAAGCATTTCCACTCTTCCAAAATCCTTTTTGATTCTCTATTTCTGCAGGTGATTATTTATTTATCCCCTTCTGTACACCTGTGTACCTACAGTTCTTTAACAAAGGTATTTATTTCCATTTCTGTCTCTCCAGTAGACTGAGAGCCACATGAGTGCAGGGACCATGTCTTACTCATTCCCATATTCCTAGTGCTTAGCAAAGAGTGTCATAAAGTGGTAGCCCAATAATGCTCATAATGTTAATTATTGAATCACTTTACCTTCAGCTACATTCAATCAGGCAGCTTTATATGCCATGCTTTTACATGCTTTATCTGATTTTCAAAACGGTTCTGTTGAGACAGGCATAATTATGTCTAATTTTAAGGTGACGCTTAGTCCCAGAGAGGTGATGTGACTTGCTCAAAGTTCCCCAATCAATAAGATTCTTTTGGATTTTCTTCTCTGTGCAGAGCAGTCTCTGACATGTTCGGGTCTATGTCCCCACCCAAATCTCATCCCCAGTTGTAATCCCCACGTGTTGAGGAAGGGAAGTGACTAGATTATGGGAGCGGTTTCCCCATGCTGTTCTTGTGATCATTCTCACGTGATAGTTCTCACAAGATCTGGTGGTTTTATAAATGGCAATTTCTCTTACTTCTCTTTCCTGTCACCTTGTGAAGAAGGTACTTGCTTCTCCTTTGCCTTCCACCATGACTGTAAGTTTCTGGAGGCCTCTCCAGCCACGCAGAACTGTGATTCAATTAAACCTCTTTCCTCTATAAATTACCCAGTCTCAGGTAGTTCTTTTTTTTTTTTTTTTTTTTTGAGACGGAGTCTTGCTCTGTCCCCCAGGCTGGAGTGCAGTGGCACGATCTTGGCTCACTGCAAGCTCCGCCTCCTGGGTTTACGCCATTCTCCTGCCTCAGTCTCCGGAGTAGCTGGGACTACAGGCGCCCGCCACCTCGCCCGGCTAGTTTTTTGTATTTTTAGTAGAGACGGGGTTTCACCGTGTTAGCCAGGATGGTCTCGATCTCCTGACCTTGTGATCCACCCGCCTCGGCCTCCCAAAGTGCTGGGATTACAGGCTTGAGCCACGGCGCCCGGCCTCAGGTAGTTCTTTATAGCAGGGTGAAAACGGATGAATACAGTCTTTCACTAAAAGATGGTCCTTGCCCTGAAGATGCTCATGTAGGAGTTTCCTGTCCTTTATTGACAGCTTGCTCATGCACATGCCTTTGGAGTGGCAAAAGAGCTGCTCAGGGACAGCCCTGGAATGCCCTGGGCTCAGGAGACGGATCGCTACTAGCCAAGAGACGTCTTGCCTCTAGGAAGTCTCTTCTGTATTACTTGTCAAGAAAAGATTCCCTTGAAATGTTTCCCCTCTACACTTTGGTATCCTCAAAACCTTTGTTTTTTTTTTACCCTGATACGGAGTTTCACTCTTGTTGCCCAGGCTGGAGTGCAGTGGCGTGATCTTGGCTCACTGCAACCTCTGACCCCTGGATTCAAATGATTCTCCTGCCTCAGCCTCCTGAGTAGCTGGGATTACAGGTGTCCACCGCCATGCCCGGCTAAATGTTTGCATTTTTAGTAGAGACAGGGTTTCCCATGTTGGCCAGACTGGTCTTGACCTCCTGACCTCAGATGATCCACCCACCTCGGCCTCCCAAAGTGCTGGGATTGCAGGCGTGAGCCACCATGGCCGGCCTCCTCAAAATCTCTTAAACAAATATTTACTGGGTATATAGTATGTATTCAGCAGTGTTCTATGTGCTAGGGATATCGTAATCTATAAAACAAAGTCTTTCCCTTGTAGAGCTCACATTGTAAAGGGGGCAGGCAAATGAATTGAGAAATAGATACATAAGAGGTACTGATAGGAAAGAAAAGTAGCATAAGGAGAAGAGTTATGGTGAGGAAGAGGAATCTTGGTTTTTGCCTTAAGAACCTGCCTCCAGCTGCGTGCAGTTCCTCATGCCTATAATCTCAGCACTTTGGGAGGCTGAGGCAGGAGGATTGCTTAAGCCCAGGAGTTTGAGATCAGCCTCGCCAACTGAGGCAGGAGGATCGCTTGAGCCCAGGAGTTTGAGATCAGCCTCGCCAACATGGCAAAACTCCATCTCTACAAAAAAATATAAAAATTAGCTGGGTATGGTGGCACATGCCTGTAGCCCCAGCTTCTCAGGAGGCTGAGGTGGGAGGATCACTTGAGCTGGGGAGGTGGAGGTTGCAGTAAGCTGAGGTTGCACTACTGCACTCCAGCCTGGGTGACAGAGCCAGACCCTATCTCGGAAAAAGAAAAAGAAAATAACCTGCTTTTCAGCCCACAGTTGGGAAATGAGATTTTTCATGAACTTAGTGAAGAAAATATGATAGCATGACGACTGGAAAGGCAAATAGTATGCTATGTCAATGAAACAAAACCACAACTCCCAAAAGCAATGTTTTTAGTGCATATCATGATTAATGTTACACCAAAATGTGTTTTGGTTTCCATAGTGCAGTTCCTCAATCAGAAAGCCAGTTTTTATTCTGCTTATCTCCAGAGCTTTTGTTTGCCTTTTGCTCACCCTAGCCCCACTAAACCAGATAAAAAGACCAGAGAGCCTGGTTGAGATTACTCTTGGAGAAAGGCATCAGTTAAGGACACTGGAAAAGACAGGCTTTTTTGTTCTGGTTCCTAATGGAGTGGCTTCGGCTGTTCTTTCTCCATCCTGTATCATTTTACCAGGGGGCTGCATTTCCCTTTGCATTTCTGTTCAATTATCTCCGCATCATGGATTCATTCTCCACTCGTGCCAGGTAGGCTGGATGGCTAGTTTTACTCTTATATCCAGAAATACGATAGTGACCGGGCGCGGTGGCTCACGCCTGTAATCCCTGCACTTTGGGAGGTTGAGGCGGGCAGATCACTTGAGGCCAGGAGTTTGAGACCTGCCTGGCTAACATAGTGAAACCCTGTCTCTACTACAAATACAAAAAAAAAATTAGCCAGGCATGGTGGCTCACGCCTGTAGTTCCAGCTCCTTAGGAGGCTGAGGCAGGAGGCTCGCTTAAGCCCCGGAGGTGGAGGTTGCAGTGAGCCGAGATTGCGCCATTGCACTCCAGCCTGGGCAATGGAGCAAGCCTCTACAAACAAACAAACAAACAAAAAAGCCAGAAATACTATAGTAGGGCAAAAAGCAGAGTAGACTGCAGATGTGAAGATTACAATACATTAATTACACTTGTTTTTAACTTACTCTCACTGTCACTGATTATTGATTGCTTGATAATGAGTATGTGTAATAGAGTAAAACTAAATTGGAAATTCACACCCTGTCTGCACTGATGTAAGGTTTGCTGGGTTCACGTTAAATGGCAAATGGATGAAAATAAACTCTCAGGAGAGACAGTTGTTGCAATGGTACAGGAATTCTCCAAATGGATACATCTCTGTCAACCATAGATCTCAGATATTCTTGAATAGACCTAATTTTATGGAATTTTATCATTTTCAATCAAATTACATTTTATACAAAGTTACATCAGTGTAAGTTTTATCATAACTAAATGTGATTTTTAAAGTGCCTTTATATGAATTCTCAGAGAAATGAAATAAGTCAAAATGAATCTTGTTAGATTAGCTATATGATCATTTGAAGTTCAAAAATTATTGTCACTAGAGATGTGATGACTTGATTTTTTTTTTTTTTTTTTTTTTTTTTTTTGACAGAGTGGCTCTATGCAGGCCCAGGCTGGAGTGATGCGGATCTCAGCTCACTTTGCAAGCTCCGCCTCCCGGGTTTCGCCGACCTCTTGCCTCAGCCTCCCGAGTAGCTGGGACTACGGCCGGATCTCAGCTCACTGCAAGCTCCGCCTCCCGGGTTTACGCCATTCTCTTGCCTCAGCCTCCCGAGTAGCTGGGACTACAGGCGCCCGCCACCTCGCCCGGCTAGTTTTTTGTATTTTTTAGTAGAGACGGGGTTTCACCGGGTTAGCCAGGATGGTCTCGATCTCTTGACCTCGTGATCCGCCCGTCTCGGCCTCCCAAAGTGCTGGGATTACAGGCTTGAGCCACCGCGCCCAGCCGTGATGACTTGATTTTAACGATTTTTTAATATCAAATAACCTCAACACATTAGAGACAGTACCTATCTTTTTAGATTGTTCATGTAAGATTTTATTTTTTTAACATAGACAAAAGGCAAGAACTTAACTGAATATAGAACAGAAATGGCAAGTGTATTGTTAACGTGGCTACATGATTTTCTGTTAAATTGAAAAGTCGCAAATACATTTTTTATTTTATTTACGTATATGTATTTTTGGAGACAGAGTCTCTCTCTGTCACCCAAGCTGGAGTGCAATGGCATGATCTTGGCTCATTGCAACCTCTACCTCCTGGGCTCAAGGGATTCTCCTGCCTCAGCCTTCCCAGTAGCTGGGACTACAGGTGCACACGACCATGCCAAACTAATTTGAAATACATTTTTAAAAATAATCCCAACTTTTATTTTAGATTCAGGGGGTATATGGGTAGGTTTGTTACATGGGTATGTTGTATGATGCTGAGGTTTGGTGTACAATTGTTCCCATCACCCAGGTAGTGAGCACAGTACCCAACAGTAAGTTTTTCAACCCTTTTCCCCTGACAGTCCCTATTTTTAACAAGGTTTTGTGGAATGTCCTTTCGTAAAGTGAAAATCTGTTGCCAAAGGGCCACTTCCTAATAATTCACTTATTTTGGGAATTAGGATTTTTATATATTGGGTTTCTTTCTTTTTTTTTTTTTTTTATTATACTTTAAGTTCTAGGGTACATGTGCACAACATGCAGGTTTGTTACATATGTATACTTGTGTCATGTTGGTGTGCTGCACCCATCAACTCGTCAGCACCCATCAACTCGTCATTTACATCAGGTATAACTCCCAATGCAATCCCTCCCCCCACCCCCTCCCCATGATAGGCCACAGTGTGTGATGTTCCTCTTCCCATATCCAAGTGATCTCATTGTTCAGTTCCCACCTATGAGTGAGAACATGCGGTGTTTGGTTTTCTGTTCTTGCGATAGTTTGCTGAGAATGATGGTTTCCAGCTGCATCCATGTCCCTACAAAGGACACAAACTCATCCTTTTTTATGGCTGCATAGTATTCCATGGTGTATATGTGCCACATTTTCTTAATCCAGTCTGTCACTGATGGACATTTGGGTTGATTATATTGGGTTTCTTAAATAAAATATAGCTGTATCTAGATCAGTTAGGATTGTGGAATTTGATTAAACAATAGTATGATCACGTGTTCATGACTGTCTAATGGCCCTTAACTTCACTTATGGAGACTGGAGTTGGGGAACAGCTGTAAAGAAGTTTCCTTTTGAGAAAGAATCTCAAAACAATAAAGCAACATGAGTGCAAAAATTAGGATTAATCCTCATGGAGTTACCTGAGGGTGAAGAGTGCTCAGTTTCTGGCCAGACGCAGTGGCTCACACCTGTAATCCTAGTAATTGGGAGGCTAAGGCAAGTGGATAGCTTGAGCCCAGGCGTTTGAGACCTGCCTGGGCAACATGACAAAACCCCTGTCTCTACGAAAAGTTCAAAAAATTAGCCAGGTGTGATGGTACACGCCTGTAGTCCCAGCTACTTAGGAGCCTGAGGCAGGAGGATCCCTTGAGCCCAAGAGGTTGAGCTTGTAGTAAGTCGTGATCATGCCACTGCACTCCCGCCTGGGCAGCAGGGCGAGACTGGAAATAAATAAAATAATAATAAAATAATAATAAAATAAAAATAAAAATAAAATAAAATAAAATAAAATCACTTTGGATTCAGCCTGTCAAAAAAATAAAAATAAAATAAAAAAGACTTCTCACTTTGGATTCAGCCTGTCAAAAAAATAAAAATAAATAAAGACTTCTCACTTTGGATTCAGTCTGTCAAAAAATAAAAAATAAAACTGTCAAAAAAATAAAAATAAAATAAAAAAGACTTCTCACTTTGGATTCAGCCTGTTGAGTACTGACTCCCTCACCTAACTAAGTGTCCTTGTGTATGTGAATATACTTCACCCAAATGCCCTCTTCTTATCTATAAAACAGAAAACATAATGCCTATCTCATGGGGTTATTTTAAATATCAAATAAATATATTTCTCATAAAGGATTATTAGCACAATGCCTAGAATGAAACAAGCAATCGCTAAGTCACACATTCTACATTGTCCATGTACAGACAATTTAATATTTATAAAACTCCTAGGGAGTTGCCTCTGGGTGGGAGGGTTGCTGTGTAAAGGATAAATGTTCCTCCTTTTGTTTTCCCATAGCAGGGAAGTGAAGGCTTGGACCACAGTGTTAACTGGGGTGTTGAGCAGGGAAGTTACCCCAAGCACAGGCTCAAAGAGAAGCACAGAAATGGCCCAGGCTTTTGAGTAATAGATGCTCTCACACTGAGACACTTAACGTTCTCCCCCAAGAAAAAAAGTGGGCTGGGCGCGGTGGCTCAAGCCTGTAATCCCAGCACTTTGGGAGGCCGAGACGGGCGGATCACGAGGTCAGGAGATCGAGACCATCCTGGCTAACACGGCGAAACCCCGTCTCTACTAAAAAATACAAAAAACTAGCCGAGCGAGGTGGCGGGCGCCTGTAGTCCCAGCTACTCCGCAGGCTGAGGCAGGAGAATGGCGTGAACCCGGGAGGCGGAGCTTGCAGTGAGCTGAGATCCGGCCACTGCACTCCAGCCTGGGCGACAGAGAGAGACTCTGCCTCAAAAAAAAAAAAAAGAAAGAAAAAAAGTGATTCTTGCTAACCTGTGCCTGGCACTGTGCCCAGAGCCGTGAGCCGTGACACACATTTGCCTTGCAATGGTGTTTCCTGGTTCTGAGTTGGTAGAGAAATTCTAAGCTTCTTTGACTCGCTTTCCCTGACCAGTCAGTCCTTTCTTCTTTTCTTTTCTTTTTTTTTCTCTTTTTCTCTTTTTTTTTTTTTTGAGACGGAGTCGCTCTCTATCACCCAGGCTGGAATGCAGCAGTGTGATCTCAGCTCACTGCAACCTCTGCCTCCCGAGCTCAAGCAATTCTCCTGCCTCAGCCTCTCCAGTAGCTGGGATTACAGGGGCCCGCAACCACGCCCTACTAATTTTTTTTTTTTTTTTTTTTTTTTTTTTTTTGTATTTTTAGTAGAAACAGGGTTTTACCATGTTAGCCAGGCTGGCCTTGAACTCCTGACTTCAAGTGATCTGCCCACCTCAGCCTCCCAAAGTGCTGGGATTATAAGCATGAGCCACCACGCCCAGCTTTTCCACACTTTTTCTGACCCCTTCATTCAACTTTATTAATTTGGCACCAAGTAAAAAACAAGCCTCCATATAATGCAGAAGGAAGAACCAAGTGTGCATAATGTGAACCTTCCCAGGCCTCTGCAGATCCGCATCTCCTTGGCTTCTGAGAGAGGCATGATTCACAAACCATTTCATCAATGTGGCTATTTTACAACATTAAAAAAACACTGGCCAGGCACCCTGGCTCACGCCTGTAATCCCAAGACTTTGGGAAGCCAAGGCAGGAGGATTGCATGAGTCTGGGAGTTTGAGACCAGCCTGGGCAACACGACAAATCCCCATCTCTACAAAAAATATTTTAAAAATTAGCCAGGTATGGTGGTGTGTGCCAATAGTCCCAGATACTAGGGAGGCTGAGGTGGGAGGATTTCTTGAGCTGGGGAGGTCAAGGCTGCAGTGAGTCATGATCGTGCCACTGCACTCCAGCCTGGGCAACAGAGACCCTGTCTTAAAAACAAGACAAACACTGCTCTTTTCCTCCCTGGCCACCTGAAAATTGGCCACTGTGATGAAAGACACAGCAGCTATCCAGACAAAGGAGTTCATAATCAACTGACAACGTCGGTGGGAACATATGGTCGTGGTCATCCTTCACTCTGGGAAGGCAACAGTACTGAGAAAGAAATTTGGGAAAAACTAGCCAAAATGTACAAGATCTCCTGGACATGATATATAAGATGGAGGTCATCTTTGTATTTAGATTCTGACCGCATTTTGTTGTAGCAAGATAACTGGCATGATTTATGATTCCCTGGATTATGCAAAAAAAAAAGTGAACCCAAGCATAATCTTGCAAGACGTAGCCCAGATGAGAGAAAAAGACACCAAGAAAACAGCAAAAGGAATGCAAGGACAGAATGAAGAAAGTCAGGAGGCCCCAAAAGCCAGTGTTGGTGCTGACAAAAAGGAGCCAGATTCTGCAATGGCCGGGCGCGGTGGCTCACGCCTGTAACCCCAGGACTTTGGAAGGCTGAGATGGGCAGATCACCTTAGGTACAGTGTCTAACACTGTACCAGCAGTTTGAAACAGTGTCTAAGACTGAGGCCGGGAGTTAAAGAGCAGCCTCGCCAACATGGCGAAACCCCGTCTCTACTAAAAATGCAAAAATTAGCCAGGCATAGTGGCAGGTGCCTGTAATCCCAGCTACTCCGGAGGCTGAGGCAGGAGGATCGCTTGAACCCGGGAGACAGAGTTTGCAGTGAGCCAAGGTCGCACCACTGCACTCCAGCCCAGGCAACAGAGTGAGACTCCATCTAAAAAAAAGAAAAAAAGATTCTGCAATGATTTCATCTGCGGTGATTGTGCCGATTTTTCATGACAGGATATAATAAACTGTAACAAGCTTTTGTGTTTTTTTAGAGATAAGATCTTGCACTGTTACCCAAACTGGAGTGCAATGGTGCGATCACGGCTCAAGTGTAGCCTCTAATTCCTGGGCTCAAGCGATCTTCCCCCCTCAGACTCCTGAGTAGCTAGGACTACAGGTGTGCCACCATGCATGGCTATTAAAAAATTTTTTTGTGGAGATGAGATCTTGCTATATTGCCCAGGCTGCTCTCAAACTCTGGCCTCAAGTGATTTTCCCTCCTTGGACTCCCAGAGTGCTGAGATTACAAGTGTGAGCCACTGTGCCTGGCCTAAACTGTATAAACTTTAATAAAACAAAATCCTGACTTACAAGATCTTAAGGTACAGTAGTAAGGATGAAGGGTGGATATAAAGATTTTTCTGAGTTTTTACTTTTCAAAGGGAAGTATTGAGTCTCCTTTCTCTGTCAGCCTCTGGAATGCTTCTGGGTAGCGTAACCCTGTGAAAAGGAAGGCGCTCATCTTGAGAGGATGTCTTGGGTGCTCTTCTAGATCCTTTACACTAGGTTCACAGCACGTTTTAGTCAGACGACATACCAGGAGATGATCTCCAGGACTGTCAGGGGCAGGTGGTGGAATACCTTGGCTGGGAATCGCTTGAATGGTGGGCATCAAAGAGAGAGGTTCCAGGGCCACTAAGGCAGGAATTGAGATTTGTCTCCAGGCCAGGGATGTGGCTCATGCCTGTAATCCTAGCACTTTGGGAGGCCAAGGCAGGAGGATCGCTTGAGGTCAGGAGTTTGAGACTGGGCAACACACCAAGATCCCATCCCTAAAAAATAAAAAGTTAACAGGCATGGTGGTGCATGCCTTTAGTCCATCCCAGGTGGGAAGATCACTGGAGCCCAGGAGGTCAAGGCTGTGGTGAGCCATGATTGCAACTCTGTACTCACCCTGGGAGACAGAAAGAGACCCTGTCTCAAAAAAAAAAAAAAAAAAGATTTGTCTCCAAGGCGGAGGTTTACATATTTACCCTGGCTCTTTCTCCTGTGATTCTTTTCTTCTGAAGAACAAAAGGAAGGCCCCAGAGTGCTAACAGCACGGCTACTTTAGGTGTTATGTGGGGCCTACCCAGATGGGGTTCCCTGGAGTGACATCTGCAGTGATTCCTTTGCTGCGTGGTTCTAAGTCATTCTCCCCAGAGTGTCCCTTCTCTTTCAGGTACCTCTTTCTCCTGGCTGGAGGAGGTGCCCTGGCCGTGGCTGCCATGGGTCCCTATGCCGTGCTCGTCTTCACCCCTGCTGTCTGCGCCGTGGCTCTCCTCTGTTCCCTGGCCCCGCAGCAAGTCCACAGGTGGACCTTCTGCTTTCAGATGAGCTGGCAGACCTTGTGTCACCTGGGTCTGCACTACACTGAGTATTATCTGCATGAGCCTCCTTCCGTGAGGTAAGCAGCCTGTTCATTGGTCATGCTCAGCCCTCCCGCGGTTTGCTTGTACCATGGCGGTAGCAGAGAGAACCTGGGTGTTGGGTTGGAATCCTGATTCTTCCACATTTGACCAGTGTGACCTTGAGCAAGTCATTTTACTTCTTTCAGACTCATATCTTTTTCTGGAAAAAGACATGGGGCTAACAATAGTGTGTTGCAAGATTGTCGTGAATGTTAATTAACCACCCAATGGGTTCACCTTCTCCACTGCCTAGACAGACAGGGGAATTACAGAAGAGAAAGAGTAATTCCCAGAGAACTGGCTATGCGGGAGACAGGAGTTTTATTATTACTCCAAGCATTCAGGGTCATCATAATCAGCTTCCCCGAGCATTTGGGGATCAGAGTGTTTAAGGATAATTTGGTGGGTAGGGGGAGGCCAGTGAGTTGAGAGTGCGGATTGGTTGGGTTGGAGATGAAATCATAGGGAGTCGGAGCTGTCTTCTTGTACTGAGTCAGATCCTGGGTGGGGGCCACAAGATAAGATGAGCCAGTTTATCGATCTGGGCGGTGCCAGCTGACCCATCAAGGGCAGGGTCTGCAAAATGTCTCAAGCACTGATCTCAGGCCTCAGAATAGTAATGTGGTCCCCAGGAGCAATTTGGGGAGGGTCAGAACCTTGTCATCTCCAGCTGCATGACTCCTAAACCATAATTTCTAATCTTTTGGCTAATTGTTAGTCCTACAAAGGCAGTCTAGTTTCCAGGCAAGAAGGGGGTTTGTTTTGGGAAAAGGCTGTGATCGTCTTTGTTTTAAACTATAAGCTATAAACTAAGCTCCTCCCAAAATGAGTCCCAGGAATGAACAAGGACAGCTTGGAGGTTAGAAGCAAGGTGGAGTTGGTTAGGTCAGACTTCTTTCACTGTCTCAGTGATAATTTTGCAATGGCAGTTTCATTAGAATGAATATAAATGTGATTCTGTATCTAATCATCGCTGCCACGTGTTGCCTACCTGGTGCCGTGTTTGGCACTGAGCAGTAGCTGTCATTGTGCCTGAGAGGGAGGGCAAAGCAGGAATCCTAGAGCCCACAGAGCAGGCCTGCCCAGAAGTGACTCAGCACTGTCTGCCAGCCTCAGCACAGGCTGAGTGGACACTCCGCTTGCAGGTATCAATCTTCCCATGGTGGCTGCTGGGAGAGGGAGCTGCTGTGTCAGTGTTTCTCTTCCTTCAGACTCAGCTGTTCCCATCTTGCTGAAGAAGAGTAGGCACCCCATCTAGAAAACAGAAATCAAGAGCTAATTACAGTCTAGAGAAGTGTTGTCATGAATCAGCAAGATCCGTGAGATGAGGGGAAACATTGCTTTGTGATCTGGAGATCTCATGTTCCTGGCTCTCTCTGGTGATCACAGGTCACTCGGCACACAGAGGCTGTGATGCTCCATATGATCACCCATCTGATTCTAGCCTGTGGTTGGTTCACTTGCTTTGCCATCCTGACTATACCCAGAATACTTTTTTTTCCTATGAAGACTATTTTCAGCCGGGCACAGTGGCTCACTCCCGTAATCCCAACATTTTGGGAGGACGAGGTGGGCAGATCACTTGAGGCCAGGAGTTCAAGACCAGCCTGGCCAACGTGGCGAAACCCCATATCTGCTAAAAACACAAAAATTAGCTGGGCATTGTGGTGGATGCCTGGAATCCCAGCTACTCGGGAGGCTGAGACAGGAGATTGCATCACTGCACTCCAGCCTGGGTGACAGAGGGAGACACTGTCTCAAAAAAAAAAAAAAAATAGACTATTTTCACCAGAAGCTTCAGGTTGGCTGCTCTAAGGAAAAGGCAAGATGGCAGGTGGGTGGGGTGTAGGAAGTACCAAATGGGATGGAGTGAATCAGGATTTCAGTAGGGAGCTGGGGCCTGATGGGGCTGGGAGGGCAAGTTGAACAGGAGCTGGCTGGATGTGAGGGAGGCTGGAGCAGATCTGGAATGGGGGGCTCTGCTAGTCGAGCAGGGCTGCTGCCATCACACGGTGCCACAGACCGGGTGGCTCAAACAACAGAAATTCATTTCCTCACAGTTCTGGAGGCTGAAAGTCACTGATGATGGCGTCAGCAGGGCTGGGTTCTTCTGAGACCGTTCTCGTGGCTTGCAGGAGGCAGTATCCCCCTGTGTCCGTGTGATGGTCACTCCTCTGTCTGTGCATGCATCGGTGTCCTAATTGTCTGTTCTCATAAGGACTCTGTGCATGTTAGATTAGCGCCCATCCTAATGACCTCACTGAACCTTAATCACATCTTCAAAGACCCTAACTCCACATACAGCCGCATTCTGAGGTACTGGGGTCAGGCCATTAGCACAGGAATTTTGGGGACATATTCAGTCCATAAATGAGAGTGAGTGAGCAGGGTTTGGTGGCATTTGGAGGCTACCTTGCTTCCAGTGAGAATCAATCAAGTAAGCAGGTCAGTTTTTCTTAAATCCTCAGACACACGGATAGAGACAGCAGCAGCTGGAAGACTGTTGTTTCCTCTCCACAGGACAGCATTTCTGATTGTAGAGTGTGTCATTGTAATTTTCTTTCCATTTTTTTTTTTTTTTTTTAGACAGGGTCTCGCTCTGTTGCCCAGGCTGGAGTGCAGTGGCGTGCTCATAGTTCACTGCAACCTCGACCTCCCAGGCTCAAGCAATCCTCCCACCTCAGCCTCCTCAGTAGCTGGGACCACAGGAATGTGCCACCACATAGGGCTAATGTTTCATATTTTTTGTAGAAATGGGGTTTTGCCATGTTGCCCAAGCTGGTCTCAAACTCCTGGGCTCAAGTGATCAGCCCACCTCACCTCAGCCTCCCAAAGTGCTGGGATTACAGGCGTGAGCCACTGTGCCCAGCCTAATTTTCATTCGTTGTTCTCAATGATCTTGCCAGCAGGATCTTCGATGGTGAAGCAGTAAGAGCTCAGGTGATTGGTTAAGACCATATTTCAAATTGCTAATGGCTCAGCACACACCGTGATCCATTCCTCAGTACAAATCCCACATTAGGCAAAGTCTTACAGCCAGGACCCGGTTTGTATTTAAAATCTTCAGCTTCCTATCTTTTCTTCACTACCGAGTTTTTGTTTCCTCTATGGCAAATTTCTCCCAAGTCTCTGATCCTAATCGTTGTAGGCCTTTCTTGGAAATATTATAATCAACATTTCCCACAATGTTCCTCATCATTCTCTTATTTGCATCTCTGACTAATATTTAATTTCCCCATTTACTTGATCCTGCCTGATGTCACCCTAAATAACAAACAGAAGGAGGCTCCCTAAAAGAAAATGATGGGGCTGGGCGTGGTGGCTCACACCTATAATCCCAGCCCTTTGGGAGACTGAGGCAGGTGGATCACTTGAGCCCAGGAGTTTGAGACTAGCCTGGCCAACATAGCGAAACCCTGTCTCTACAAAAAAACCTCACAGAAATTAACTAGATGTGGTAGCACATGTCTGTAGTCCCAGCTTCTCAGGAGGGAGAGAGGGGAGGATCACTTGAGTCTGGGAGGCAGTGGTTGCAGTGAGCCATTATGGTGCTGCTGCACTCCAGGCTGGTTGATAGAGTGAGACCGTGTCTCAGGAAAAACAAAACAAGAAAAAAGAAAAGAAAAGAAAAAAACAATGTTTATGGCTGGGAGCAGTGGCTCACACCTGTAATCCTAGCACTTTGGGAGGCCGAGGCGGGCGGCTCACCTGAGATCAGGAGTTCAAGACCAGCCTGGCAGACATGGCGAAACCCTGTCTCTACTAAAAATACAAAAATTAGCTGGGCATGGTGGCGTGCACCTGTAATTCCAGCTACTCAGGAAGCTGAGGCAGGAGAATCACTTGAACCCAGGAGGCAGCAAAGGTTGCAGTGGGCTGAGATTGCGCCACTGCACTCCAGCCTGGGCAACAGAGCGAGACTCTATCTCCAAAAATAAAAAAAATAAAAAAAAAGAAAATGATACGTATTTAGGGATTGGGCATTACAGTGGGAATATGTGTGCCATAGTATGTGTATTCAGGTAGGTAAAGGAAGACAAAGTTTTTGTTTGGTTGGTTGGTTGGTTTTTTTGAGATGGAGTCTCACTCTGTCACCAGGCTGGCATGCAGTGACACAATGTCAGCTCACTGCAACCTCCGCCTCCCAGGTTCCAGCGATTCTCCTGCCTCAGCCTCCCGAGTAGCTGGGACTACAGGCACATACTACCACGCCCAGCTAATTTTCGTATTTTTAGTAGAGATGGGGTTTCACCGTATTGGCCAGGATGGTCTTGATCTCTTGACCTTGTGATCCATCTGCCTCAGCCTCCCAAAGTGCTGAGATTACAGGTGTGAGCCACCGTGCCCAGCCAGTAAGAGAAAGTGTTTTAAGAGAAAAATAAGGAGGATTACGTAATTGTGTTGAAATCATTATCCTTGAATACAGGATCAATGACAAGGGTGATGCCAGCCTGTGGTTGGGCAGGCAGTGGCTGGGCAGGTGACCTCACAAAAGTATTTTTTTGGGTAGGGTTGCAATGGTTTTTGTGCAAGGTTGTGGTTTTTGCAGTCTTTTGTGGTAGTTTTTGTTATCTGACATACAAGCATTGAGAACCCTCTCTTCATACCTTTCCCTGGCTCTGTTTGTCAGAATTGTTTTGTTTTGTTTTGCTTTTTAACACAAGTGACTTCGGTTTTTTTTCTTTTTCGTTTTCGTTTTCTTTTTTTTTTTTGAGACAGGGTCTCACTTGGATGCCTAGGCTGTAGTGCAGTGGTGCAATTCAATCATAGCTCACTGCAGCCTCGAACTCCTGGGCTCAAGCGTTCCACCCATGTCAGCCTCCCAAAGCCATGGGATTACAGGCATGACCCACTGCACCCAGCCATGATTTCATTTTTATTCCCACAGCTTTCAAATTGGAGTAGGGTGTGGTTCTGAATTAATTCAAGAGTCTTCAGCTTTTGAAGTAAAATTTCCCAGGCAAATTCTCCTATTCAGGATGGAAGATTTCAGGATAGAAGATGGGATGGATCTCTGCGATCCCTGGGAAGCTTCTCAAGTTGAACATGAGTGTAAATGTGTGCATCTTTTTTTCTTTAAAACAAACAAAATATATATGCAATATACATACATATTCCTACAGATATACATATACTTATTTATAAAAAACACACGATCATTACAAAAAATTCAAACAAAGCAAAAAGTGAAAGATCTTCTTATGCTAGTCTCATTCCCTAGAGGTAACTACTCTTAAAAGTTTGGGGTATATTAGTCTAGACTTAAGCTCCACTGTATACTTAAGATCTGTAAATATTGCTGGGGGTAGTGGCTCACACCTGTAATCCCAGTTTACACTCCCAAAGTGTAATCCCAGCACTTTGGGAGGCCGAGACTGGCAGATTGCTTAAGCCCAGGAGTTTGAGATCAGCCTGGGCAACATAGTAAGACCCCATCTCTATAAAAAATAAATAAGATTGATTTATTTTAAGATTTATTTTTTGTGGGGTCCTGCAGGCCATGAGATTAATCTTAGCTATACAGACCTATGTATTTCCTGTGAGATCATGTATGACAGACTGGAATAAGAGAAAGAGAATAAATACAGAGTGTTTTTATGTTTTAAAAAAAAATTATCTTGCAGGTTCTGCATCACTCTTTCTTCTCTCATGCTTTTGACCCAGAGGGTCACGTCCCTCTCTCTGGACATTTGTGAGGGGAAAGTGGAGGCAGCATCCGGAGGCATCAGGAGCAGGAGCTCTTTGTCTGAACATGTGTGTAAGGCACTGCCCTATTTCAGCTACTTGCTCTTTTTCCCTGCTCTCCTGGGAGGCTCTCTGTGCTCCTTCCAGCGATTTCAGGCTTGTGTTCAAGGGTCCAGTGCTTTGTATCCCAGGCACTCTTTCTGGGCTCTGAGCTGGAGGGGTCTGCAGATTCTTGGACTAGAATGCATAAACGTGGCAGTGAGCAGGATGGTGGATGCAGGAGCAGGACTGACCGATTGCCAGCAATTTGAGTGCATCTATGTTATGTGGACCACAGCTGGGCTTTTCAAACTCACCTACTACTCCCACTGGATCCTGGATGACTCCCTCCTCCACGCAGCGGGCTTTGGGTCTGAGCTTGGTCAGAGCCCCGGAGAGGAGGGATATGTCCCTGATGCGGACATCTGGACCCTGGAAAGAACCCACAGGATATCTGTGTTTGCAAGAAAGTGGAACCAAAGCACAGCCCGATGGCTCCGACGGCTTGTATTCCAGCACAGCAGGGCTTGGCCGTTGTTGCAGACATTTGCCTTCTCTGCCTGGTGGCACGGACTCCATCCAGGACAGGTGTTTGGTTTCCTTTGCTGGGCCGTGATGGTGGAAGCTGACTACCTGATTCACTCCTTTGCCAATGAGTTTATCAGATCCTGGCCCATGAGGCTGTTCTACAGAACCCTCACCTGGGCCCACACCCAGTTGATCATTGCCTACATCATGCTGGCTGTGGAGGTCAGGAGCTTCTCCTCTCTCTGGTTGCTCTGTAATTCGTACAACAGTGTCTTTCCCATGGTGTACTGTATTCTGCTTTTGCTATTGGTGAAGAGAAAGCACAAATGTAAGTGACATCTTTCCCTGGCTTTCATCTTATACACCCATGAAACAGTTTAGAAAGTGCCAGATGACGCATCAATAATGCGTACATCTGAACTTTTCCATAATAAAAATTTTTCTAAAGTTTTAGATGAATAAACCCAGTGACTTGCAGTAGGAATTTGTGTATCTACTTTAGCAAGCTATTCTGCTGGTACTGAGGATACGAAAGGGAAAAATATGTGGTTTCTTCCCATAAGCTTTACAGTCTAGATGGGGAAGCAAAGATTAAGCAAAGTGATACATAAAAACACAAGGTGCTGTGAACGAGATGGCAAACGCTCTACGTATAGACACCCCAAAATTGAGTGTTCAGTTGGCCTACCTGATCCTGGAATGGGAACTTTAGCAACACAAAACCAAAACAAAACCTAACTCATTATCACATTGGTTTGTTATGTGGACTACAGACTCATATCCATTATTAAGTTTGAAAATTTTTTTCTAAATTTGAAAATTTGGGCCAGGTACAGTGGTTCATACCTGTAATCCCAGCACTTTGCAAGGCTGAGGTGGAAGGATTGCTTGAGGCCAGGAGTTTGAGACCAGGTTGGGCAACAGAGCAAGACCTTGTCTCAAAATATATATGTGTGTGTGTGTGTGTGTGTGTGTATGTATATGTATATTTGGGTGGGCATGGTGTATGCACCTAAAGACCTAGCTCCTCTGGAGGCTGAGAAGGATCTCTTGAGTCCAGGAGTTTGAGGCTGCAGTGAGCTGTGATTGTGCCACTGCACCCCAGCCTGGATGATAGAGGAAGACCCCATATGCTAAAAAACTTTTTTGGCCCGGGTGCGGTGGCTCACACCTGTAATCCCAGCACTTTGGGAGGCCAAGGCGGGCAGATCACAAAGTCAGGAGTTCAAGACCAACCTGGCCGATATGGTGAAACCCCGTGTCTACTAAAAATACAAAAATTAGCCAGATGTGGTGGCAGGTGCCTATAGTCCCAGCTACTCGGGAGGCTGAGGCAGGAGAATTGCTTGAATCTGGGGTATGGAGGTTGCAGTGAGCCGAGATCACACCATCACACTCCAGCCTGGGCAACAGAGCAAGACTCCATCTCAAAAAAAAAAAAAATTTTTTTTCGAAAATTTGAAAAAAAATTGTCCTAAAAATAAATGGCTGATATTATTCCCAGAGATATGTTAATAAAGTAAAAACCCACATGATAACTATTTACATAATTGTTAAATACAAAGCTGACTCATAAACATGTCTTACAAAGAGATCAATAACAGGAAGTAAACACTACGTTAATGAGACTTTGGGGGTGGGTTTGATTCTTTTTTTTCTTGGCATATCCTAAATAACTTCCTCTGTTTCTTCCTGTTAGAATTTAAAATACACAAGAGAAAAGTATCAGGACTTCCAAATTATGCAGTAGCAATGTCATTTAACTAGCACTTACAAATTACTGCCACATCTGCAGGTCACCTGTACTGTTATGCAATTACCATTTTTCTTCGATCAACTTTAACTTACTTATAAAACTTACCCTGCTTCTAAGCAATGGCAATGATGAAAATTGGGTTTGGTGTAGTAATTCTATTTTACTCCAGTACTCACTAAAAGAGACACATTCTTGTTCAAAACAAAACGAAACAAAACAAAACCTCTTTATTTGTGTACTGTGTAAAACCATCTGCTTATCTAGGGTGACATCTATCCCACCATATGAAACATTGGACAGGTATCTCAGCTTGAGTATTCCAAACCAATCCTTCTCACCCTTTTCAAAATGTAAAATTGCAAATAAGCTTTTTGATATGGTTTGGGTCTGTGTCCCCACCCAAATTTCACATCGAATTGTAATCCCAGTGTTGGAAGAGGGGCCTGGTGGAAGGTGATTAAATCATGGGGGTGGATTTCCCCTTTGCTGTTCTCATAATAGTGAGTGAGTTCTCACAAGATCTGGTTGTTTATAAAAGTGTGTAGTACCTTCCCGCTCTTTCTCTTCCTCCTGCTCCAGCCATGTAAAACGTGCCTCCTGCCTCTTCACCTTCCGCCAGGATTTTAAGTTGCTTGAGGCCTCCCCAGCCATGCTTCCTGTACAGCCTGTGAAACTGTGAGCCAATTAAACCTCTTTTCTTTGTTAATTACCCAGTCTCAGGTAGTTCTTTTTTTTCTTTTTTTCTTTTTTGTGGGAGACAGGGTCTCGCTCTGTCACCCAGGCTGGAGTGCAGTGGTGTGATCTCAGCTCATTGCAACCTCTGCCTCCCAGGTTCAAATGATTCTCCTGCCTCAGCCTCCCAAGTGGCTGGGATTACAGGCACATGCCACCATGCCCAGCTAATTTTTGTATTTTTAGTAGAGACAGGGTTTCACCATGTTGGCCAGGCTAGTCTTGAACTCCTGACCTCAAGTGATCCGTCCACCTTGGCCTCCTGAAGTGCTGGGATTACAGGTGTGAGCCACCACTCCTGGCCTCAGGTAGTTCTCTATAGCACTACAAGAACAGACTAATACACTTTTAATCGGTAAAACTTCACAAAGATAATACTAAGTTAGAAGTTATAGATAACTTAGAAAGTTATAGGTCAATGTCACTGATTAATGTGAAGGCAAACAACACGCCCAATCTTAGCACTCAGAACATAACACGACAAGCAGTGAGCGTCTTGATGAACAGAGACGGCAAGGATTTGTAGTGGCCTTGGTAGGGCGCAGTGGCTCACGTCTGTAATCTCAGCACTTTGGGAGGCTGAAGCGGGAGAAGCTCTTGAGCCCTCGAGTTTGAGACCTGCCTGGGCAACATAGGGAGATGCCATCTCTATTAAAAAACACACACACACAAATCCAAAACTTGTAGTGACCTTACCCAGAAGGGTTCTATACTTTCTCTCACCATACTCAGTAGCCCAGAGGAGACAAAGTAGATAAACGGGGTTTCCCAGAGTTGGGAATAGTCAAAGAGACTCTGTCTCAAAAAATAGTTTCAGACTCTGTCTCAAAAAAAGAAAAAAAGAGTGATTTTTATAGGGTCACTTCTGAGGAGCTGTCTATGGGTGTGTCCAATTGATGAAAATCCTTTGAGAGGTACACTTTAGATGTGTGTCCATATATATGTTACACTTCAGTATTTTTTTTTTTTTTTTGAAACAGTGTCTGGCTCTGTCACCCAGGCTGGAGTGCAGTGGCATGATCTCGGCTCACCGCAACCTCTGCCTCCTGGGCTCAAGCAATCCTCCCACCTGAGCCTCCCAAGTAGCTGGGACTACAGGAGCACACAACCATGTCCGACTAATTTTTTGTACTTTTTGTACACACAGGGTTTTGCCATGTTGCCCAGGTTGGTCTCAAATTCGTGAGCTCAAGTGATCCAACCTCCTTGGCCTTCCAAAGTGCTGAGATTACAGCTATGAGCCACCATGTCCAACCCCGTAATTTTTTTAAGTGACTATTCTTCATGATTGGGAAATGCTCATGAAGGAATGTTAAATTTAAAAAAGAACTTGGTTAACGAAGCCTTTTAAAATGCAATCCGGCCTCCAAATCTATCTCCCCACTGATGGCCAGGGGTAATTTCTACTCCTCTGATTGGTTAAACCAGAACGTTTGCTTCCTTCTTTTTCTATTTGCATTCTGTAGAGAATGATTCATTTCTCTGGACAGTAGTAGAAAGAACATTTCTCTGGACAGTAGAAAGTGATTTGTGGGAATTGATCTAAGGAAGAAGTTGGAGCCAAAGATGTAGACCGGAGCCATCTGTCTGCCCAGAGTACAGCCCGGATCCAAGATGGGCAGAGAACAGAGAGGAGGTGTCTCCTTCCAGTTCTGTTTCTTTTGTTAGGTCTTAACTTGTTCACTTCCTAACTCCTGCCCCCGCTGCTCCCTCCCATTTGGCAGCAGTTTCCCTATCCTTCATTACCCATTCTGTCACTTCCAAGACGCTGCCCATTGCTCCTGAATTCCCTTTGCCACATGACTGGTAGTACCTGCTTATTAACACCCCACCCTCTCTTTTTAAAAAATTCAACCACTACCCTTCTGGAATATCCTCTCGTTAATGTGCTCTAACCTCACTTCCAGATCTGGATTTGATGTTTTCCTTCTCTTGCTTGATCTAGAAGTAACCCTCAGGTTACCCCTGCTTTCTCTCTTGTTCCGGCCCATTTATTGGCCCAAGCAGAATATATATATATATATGAGAATGAATCATTCTCTACAGAATGCAAATATATATATATATATATATATATATATATATATATAGAGAGAGAGAGAGAGAGAGAGAGAGAGAGAGAGACTGTGTGTGTGTATATATGTATATTTTTTTGAGACAGGGTCTCACTCTGTCACCTAGGCTGGCATGCAGTGGCACAATCAGGGCTCACTGCAGCCTTGAACTCCTGGGTTCAAGCAATCCTGCCATGTCTGCCTCCCAAGTATAGAATAGTATTTTGACGAATTGTGCCTATCCTTACAAATGCAAGGATGAGGCCAGCTGTCTCTGTCTCGCAGGAAGTAACCCTGGACAAGTGAACTAAATTCTGTGGACCAAGTACTAGAGCTCAGTAACCCATGGAAACAGCGCCCAGTAGGCACATGCCTCCTGACCTCTGGCCTCCCACTTTCATCAGCCAAATCACTCTGAGAGGTTTGGCAGCTCTTTCAGGTCCCCAGGCAGGGGGCCTTATCCATTTGTTTGAAAATAGTGTCTGAGAGTTTGGTGATTAAGAAATCCCTAAGAGGAGGGTAAGCTAAGCCATGAAAACCAACTCAGGATGCTGGCAAAGCTTAATAAGAAAATGTTTAGCAGAAAGCTATAGCATTAGTCTTTCTAAGAGCAGCAAGAAACTATAGCCTTCATTATTTATAGATTGAAATGGCATCATCACCTAGGAAGTGTCACGAGAACTCAGGTAATCTGTCAGCATATTATTTTGTTTTTTCTTTTTTTTCTTTTTTTGAGACACAGTCTCACTCTGTCACCCAGGCTGGAGTACAGTGGTGCCATGTCGGCTCACTGCAACCTCTGCCTCCCGGGTTCAAGTGATTCTCATGCCTCAGACTCCCAAGTAGCTCAGATCATAGGCATGCGCCACCATGTCCAGCTATTTTTTTTTTTTTTTTTGTATTTTTAGTAGAGATGGGGATTTGCCATGTTGGCCAGGCTGGTCTTGAACTTTTGGCCTCAAGTGATCCTCCCACCTCAGCCTCCCATAGTGCTGGTCTGGCCTGTCAACCTATTATTCTGAATAATCTACCCTCATAGTGCAGCCCCATCCTTCTGAATCATAGC